TGACAGAGCGATGGCAGCAAAAGTGAAAGGGAAGATTTATATAATGGTAGTGAGATGTGCTATGAGGTCTTGTTTGGAGACAGGATTAGAGGTAGAGCTCAGGTGGAGTAGTTTGGAGACAAAGAGCAGTGAGTCTGAGATGATTTGGACATCTGCAAAGGAGGAACTGTGGATATACTGGACAAATCATGTAGAACACGGGAAAAGAGGGACCACAGTGAAGATTCATGGATGTAATGTAAGAGGACATGGAGGATGAATAGGTTGTTCCCTTAAGGGAGCAGCTGAAGGAGGAAGAAGTAAAGGTCTAATTTTTTGACCACTTTATGTCTCTTTTATAATAGAAATCCAATATTCAGTGTTGTGGCCTTTTGTCCCTGGGGCATCAGCTACAGTACAAAGGTTACACATTCCACTGTCGTGGCAACAAATACAAAATCATACTCGTCTTTTCCTCTGCGTGCTGGATGTTTGCATGGAGAGGATTTCTTGTTGTGGCGCCCACACATGGTCAAAACAATGAATACCCCTTTTGTTACAGAAGCTCAGGTTCTCAGACACTGTTTAGATTCATAAATGTTCAGTATCATCTGCATCAGCTGATGAATGACTCGATTTACTAACAACAAATATGTGATGTGTTTGGCTAAATTAACGAGTCAAGGGTTTATGACCCACAATTTACACACAAAATTAGTAACTGCTGAGATTTAAGGGACAAAACAGGATCATCAAACCAAGCTTAAGCTGGTCCCAGTGAACTCGTGCTATGCTATGTAAGGAGCACCTGAGCTACAGTCAGCCAACTGGAGTACAGACTTGAACACAAATCAGACTAAAAGCCTGATTTATTAATTACCTTTTAATGCATGAGCCTTGAGGTTGTGCAAATGGTGCCAGAGGAAAGAAGTTTCAGTAAATCCATTGTCCTTGGGAAGCGCTCAGTCTCTTAGAGTGAATGGCTAAGCATTAATTATTCAGCAGTAAGCCCAAACAAATGGCACATCTAGTGTCTCGGTGCCTGCGTCAGGGCCCCTCCTGGCAGTCGATGGGTAGAGCACACGCAGACAGGAGGAGCACACCTTTAGCATGCATCGCATTACATTCATAAATGCATGATACATAGCTTGTATCTCACCCACTCCTAAGTGCACTTCTGAAGCATGTCTTTCTACTGTATAACTGAGTATCTTTCAAGGTGTCCTCCTGCTGATACAGACATCAAAGAACAAGACCTATCTCCTTCGCTTTGATCCGTTCCAGTTCCAGCAGCACTCCTCGCAGTCTCCACCCATGGTCGCATCATTTTTTGTTTGCAAATTGAACATTAAAGCTCTTCCAGTTTGGGCGACATCGAGCCATACGCTTTCTGTGAAAACCACCACATTTTTGTGGTGACTGTCACACAAACTGGCTGTGTGCAGCAACCCATCCCACCCACCTGAGGTGTGTGCTTAAATCCAAGTCTGGTTTTTAATGGAAGACTCTAACTACCATCAGGACACAGAGGAGTGTGGCAATCATGGAAGTCAAACATGCAGTAATTGTGTCATGCTGCAAAATGCTTCTACGTTCACAATCAAATGCACATCATGCCGACTGCCTTCCACATACTGTATGTATTTTACATGAAATGCAGGAACCTTGTGGTCTTTTTTCCCAGCTGCTCCATTGAGGGCGAACACATTCAGATCAAACTGAGGTTATTGTACTCAGCCCTGAAAATCTTAGAAATATGGTATCTAAGCAGATTCTTACTCTGGATGGCATTACCTTGGCCTCCAGTAACACTGTGAGGAACCTTGGAGTCATTTTTGACCAGGACATGTCCTTCAACGCACATATTAAACAAATATGTAAGACTGCGTTCTTCCATTTGCGCAACATCTCTAAAGTTAGAAATATCCTGTCTCAGAGTGACGCTGAAAAACTAGTTCATGCATTTATTACTTCCAGGCTGGACGACTGTAATTCATTATTATCAGGAAGTCCTAAAAACTCCCTGAAAAGCCTTCAGCTGATCCAAAATGCTGCAGCAAGAGTCCTGACAGGGACTAGAAAGAGAGCAGATTTCTCCTGTATTGGCTTCCTGTTAAATTCAGAATTCAAAATCCTGCTCCTCACATACAAGGTCTTAAATAATCAGGCCCCATCTTATCTCAATGACCTTGTAGTACCATATCACCCTACTAGAGCACTTCGCTCTCGCTCTGCAGGCCTACTTGTTGTTCCTAGAGTATTTAAAAGTAGAATGGGAGGCAGAGCCTTCAGTTTTCAGGCCCCTCTTCTGTGGAACCAGCTTCCAGTTTGGATTCAGGAGACAGACACTATCTCTACTTTCAAGATTAGGCTTCAAACTTTCCTTTTTGCTAAAGCATATAGTTAGGGCTGGACCAGGTGACCCTGAATCCTCCCTTAGTTATGCTGCAATAGGCTGCTGGGGGATTCCCATGATGCATTGGTGTTTCTGCTTCACTCACTATGTGTTAACAGACCTCTCTGCATTGAATCATATCTGTTATTAATCTCTGTCTCTCTTCCACAGCATGTCTTTATCCTGTCTTCCTTCTCTTACCCCAACCAATCACAGCAGATGGCCCCGCCCCTCCCTGAGCCTGGTTCTGCTGGAGGTTTCTTCCTGTTAAAAGGGAGTTTTTCCTTCCCACTGTCGCCAAAGTGCTTGTTCATAGGGGGTCATGTGATTGTTGGGTTTTTCTCTGTATCTATGAAGCGCCTTGAGGTGACTTTTGTTGTGATTTGGCGCTATATAAATAAAATTGAATTGAATCTCCACCGAAGTTATTACGCACAGTCCACTACTTCTCTTTCATTCAAACTGCCGTTGCATCAACTGGGATTTTTTTTAAACAACTGACTGCAAAGCGTGAAGATTAAAGACAAATATGTCAGAACTAACAGTTACTAAAAATAATTCCAAGCAAAATGTGATAAAAAAAATTCATGAAGAACATTATTTTTAAAAGTGATTTCAAATCGCCCCGTGAATATTCAACAGTTCTTACAAAGAGAGAGAATGACGGAAACCCACATTAGCGTCTTAGAGTGACAGTCATCATGTATGCCACAGCTGGCACTTTCATCTGCGAGGTAATAATTTAAAAGTCTCTGTGTTCTTCAGTGAAATGCTTGTGACTGTGAATATGTGAGAAAGGGTGAGTCTGTCAGAAAGACCGAGAGTGCAAGACCTGCATATAGCAAACAGCGAGACCTGTGAGAAAAGGGATCCAACCATGCATGCTGAACACTCTCTGTCATAAACTATCCAAAAGGCTCTGTCTTACCTCTGCTTTTGATTGTGCACAACAGCACAATCCTCCAAATCATCTTTTTGGTGGTGAATGCTCACTGCATTCTCACAAAGGATAAATACTCGCTTTGCTAATCTCTTTGCCAATTCATAAAACACAAAAGTAATGAAGCCACTTTATTATCCAAGCACAAAAAGGTGTTTATTTATCAGATGCTTGATATTCTGATTGGTCTGGTGGGTTTGGATACAAAATGTTCTGTTTGACTGTGATAAAGCAAACAATAGATGGGTCTTCAGCTCCTGGCAGTATCTCATGTGCTTATATACAGTTATGTGGCATTTTATAATATAACATGTTAGAAGTGTTTTTATTTATAATCTTCAAACAAATTAGTAAACAATGATTTAAAGTGAATGTTATGAAATGTAAAAGAAGCAGCACATATCATAAGTAGAAATACTAGAATATAGTCAAACTGCATTTCAGTAAAGTACTTGAGTACTTTCTATCACTGATGCATCGTAAGACTAAACGACTCTAGCCCAAAGCCATTTGAGATGGGCTAGTGAGGGTCCAGACATAGTTTGGAGGGCGGTACCATCACATGACCTCCCTGTGGACACGCCCCCATTGATCAGGACAAAAGCCAAAACTTTTCAGGGGTGACTGTGTAACACCTGTGACTTATAACATAATTCCTTAGATGGGATCATGGGATACTGAATAAAAATGTGGAAAAATCTAATATTCCTCAATGATTTTAGGATAGTTTCCTTTATATGCCTAATCTTACTCATACTAAACTAATTACCACAGCTGCAGCCCCCCACGCTTCCCCCTGCACACAAGCTATTATAGTCCACCCAAGCAGCGCAGGATGATGATTGGCGGGGCAGATTAACGTGACTGGCAGCGGCTACAAACATGCCCAGCGGCGTGCCGTCACCACCCACACTCGGGCAGCCATTCGCCCTGTTCTCCTACCCAGTGTCAGGTCTGCTACTGTTTACATGTCAGACTCTATTTACTCAGCGTGGCCTTGCAGTCTGTTTGCAGTGGATCAGGAAAATTTCCTGTCTTACAGCCTCAAACTCTGCATAACAGGATTCAACAAGTGTTTCTGATGAGGCACAAGGGCCTGTACACCTGTAGCTCAGACAGAGAGTGACAAAAAGTTAAGAAGCTACATCACAATCAACATGTGTCACCTCTCACAGTGATAAGAAAACAGTTAAAGAGACATGCAAATGCAGATCTGTTGTGCAAGTGACTCTCAAACACCCTTTTTTTGGCATCACAGAACTAACAAGCCAGCACGCAAGGGGTTACTGAACATTAAGGGTTCACGGTCGAGCAGGTTTCTGAAATCAATCAGTTTCACGGACCGGACACATCTCAATGAAAACAGGCCGTGGTGATGAGCAATGATGTTGCCATGACAACAGGAAGGCTGAGCGTGCAGCCTGGCTTCGGTATCTTCAGGCGTACGGCAGGCGGCACCCAGACGGTTTGGGTTTTTAACCTTTTAAGTGGCAGAAAGCAAGCTGCGGTTTCAGATGGGATCATGGAAAAATGGGGGCTGTGGGCGTGGGTGGATGGGTGAGGCGTTTGTGAAGAATTGGGGGTGTGGGGTGTCGGTGGGGGGCACAACAAAGTCAGGCATCATTTAAAACTGTGCCTCAAAGCATACACAGGGGAAATGGAAAAGCTAGTGGGTGGGCTGTTTTGTTCTGTTTTGTTCTTTTTTTTTGTTACCCTCCTAATCCAGCCATGGCCAACTACAGAGACATGAGAGGGACAAACAAACAGGTTAACACAAATACACACAGAGACACACAACCAAAATACATTCACTTTTCCTTTTCAGAATCATAATCAACCAGAAATGTTCAGACTTCCTACTATTAGAGACACACACACACACCAGTGGACATGCTGACAGTCACTCTTAAAACACACTGCATGCAGATTAAAGAGACAGCACTGAGAGTGAGAAGAGAACAGGATGGCTACAACAATAGAAACAGTGTGGGGAGCTCAGAGAAACACGCCTGCTACCACTGACTGCTGGCACATGAACACTCGCATACGAGCTGGTTAAAGGAACAGCTCAGACTTTGGGATTTGAGCTTACCTGCAGAGACAAACACATGAAAGGCTTTCTGACAGCTATAGACGGCTGATCTGACACAGAGCTATGCCCTGGTGCCACTCATTCTGCTGTTAATGAAGCTGTCATGTGGAGAATTGCCACACTCGTTGTGATATCATTGTAAACAAATGATCTTGTGCAAGACAAAACTATAGCATCTGAAAATGTACCTCTTTACCTTACAATATAAAACACCTTGAGGGAACTATTGTGTATGAATGTGAGAGTGAATGAATAGTGGCATTATAAAGCGCTTTGGGTGCCTTGAAAAGCGCTATATAAATCCAATCCATTATTATTATTATTATTATTGTTGGGATTTGGCGCTATATAAATAAAACTGAATAGAACTGAATCTATCAGCTAAACATCGAGCAATTTACCCTTAAATTTGTAGCACTGTTTGCAAGGTGGATGTTTTGGTCGGTCCATTTGTGAAATAGTGCATTTATTATGGGGCATGCTTTTACAGCATTTGCCATCTGCGAGCATTAAAGACTTTGAATGATCGGAAAGAACTTTTGCTCGGTGAGCAATCACAAATTTTTTCCAAAATATCTCCCCAGTGGCTTATCCAGTCTTTAAGTGTGACATCATTAGCCGTGCCTGAGCCCAAACTCTGCTTCAGGTCCCAAAGTCAAACAAACACTGCGGCATCACTCAAAGTCGTCTAAATTCTTTCATCTGTAATAGAATGATCAGCGTTCTGCTCTACCAGGTGTAACAATTAAGTTTAACATCCAGGCATCCATGAAAACAGAATTTAGTAAATTTAACGGAGTTAGAAGTTAGCAGGAAGTTAGCTCGCTAGTTTCCACCTAAGCATGATATTGCATGTTCTGACTGAGAGATTTCTGAAAAAATTCAAACGTACAGCTCTGCTATCACTTCCAACATAAATGAAAAATGGCCTGTATTTGTAAAGCATGGAGACATAAAACTAAACAGCAGTGACGTTTGTAGGGTCACTGAAGTTGAGCTAGCTGGTATATAATGATGTGCTACGTGATCGCTAGCTATGCTAACAGAGGGATGTTAGCATAACATTAACTGTGAAGCTGGAGGATGAACGCTAACTTTTTTCCACTCGATAAAAGTTAACGTGAAGGTTCCTGATGGTTAGAGACAAATGCAATCGCATGGCAGGATGCTGTAAACGGACCAGACTTCAGTCAGGAGAACAACTGAGATAATCCATCCACAATTGACTATGTGCACGTTAGCATATGCTACTTCCGGTGCAGAAACTCCTGTGGGGAGCTTTGTTTCCGGTGTCCTATTCGCGCCTGGTTTACGGTCCAAAACAAGTTAAGCAAATGAATGAATCAAGCGGCGATTTACATTTCTATAGATGTCTCGGGCATTTACCCAATATATCTGTAAATGATGTTCATCGACTTGTCGATATTTTTCCCCCGCGCCTCAGAGCAAAAGAGAAAAGGGATTCAAATGTTATATTTCTCAGCTGTCCCTCATTTATCGCAGGTGTTATGTTCTAAAAATAACCAGCGATAGGTGAAATCAAGTAGGTCACACTGCTAACGATCGATGCAGCGATTCTGTACTGTACAGGAGAGACGTCACGGAGGAGATCGTCTGCAGCGATCAGGACACAATGTGACGTAAAAAAAAAGCATGCAAACTTGCACTAAAAAATCCGTGAAACAGCGAGGTGAAAGGTGAACGTTATAGCGAGGGACCGCTGTAATTTTGAAGGTAAGTCACAACATACCCTTCGTACATACTAATGTATAGAAACCGTTACCAGCAATCATTCATTTTTTGTGTGGCTTTTTTCACGGTTTGTTAACATGCTGTGTAGGTGTGTACTTGACTAGCTGATCTCGACATAATGGGGAAACATCTGGTTTGACTATTCTTCACCTGTAGTTTGAATGCTGAACATTTGCCTGTTTAAATCATAAGACCAGTCACTATACAGAGATGTGCTTCTGAGTGTGGAAGAGGTGTTTTCTGCTGCAGTGATGCAGTTCTGCTTGTGCTGAGTGATGTAAACAACTGATCGATCTAAACGCTTTAAACGTCAAAATTGATCATTAGATTTTTTATGACACAGCAGTGGTGAGTGTTCCCACCTCTGCTCTTTGTAACTTAACGCCATCTTTCCGTTTTCGAGTTTTGGACATGATTGTGGAGGATATCTTCGCAGTAGCGATTGACCGCAAAGTAAAGCTACCGGAAATGCACAACCCCACATCCGGTCTCAAACCAGGAAGTTAGCATTGTCTCGTGCACAGGGTCAATACGAGGTTAGTCATTCATATACTGCTGCATGGGCTGGGCTGTAGTTGCATCGTAAGGGCTTACAAACTGAGCTTTAAAAACGGAGAGAGGCCGACAGTGATCACCGACTGTTTTTAGGGGCTTTTTGAGATTAAATAGAACAAGATACAAAGCACTAAAACATGTTAAAAACACAACAGCCTTAATAAACTCTGAGTAGTTTGGACCCAGAAGCAGGGTTCATACGTCATCACTTAAAGCCCAGATAGTTCTTTTATCACTCTTTCACAGATCCAGTATTACCTTTAGTTACTTTCAGTACTGAATATATAATAGGTCACCCTAGCGGACTCGGGGTTTAGGGAACATCTCTAAGTTTGTGTCTGTAGAGGGACAATCAGAAATTAAAACGTATTTGTTCAATAAAAAAAAAAGGACTGAGATTTTTTGAGATTATTAAGGAAAGCACAACAGTTTTGAAGGTCATATCATATGAACACACAGTTCAACATAATTGAATATAATTTGCATTTTCTATCAGTTTTCCTGTTTTTGTCACAAGACGATGATACTGCACACTAGAGAGGTCAGTTACTTCCAAGAGCACAAAACTCAATAACATCTACAAATGTAAGGGCATAAAATTAGGTAAAGCAGATATGCTCCTGTGACAGGGTTCACCTCTGTGGTTTCAGTGACTGTGATCAGAAACAATCCCAGTTCACATCCAGCTGTTGCTTCTTCATCCAGCTTGCTCATTGAAATGCAGTGTAGAGGTCTGAGGTCAGTGTTATAACTAGAGATGGACCGATCCGATATTACGTATCGGTATCGGTCCGATACTGACGTAAATTACTGGATCGGATATCGGAGAGAAATAAAAAATGTAATCGATCCATCAAATATCAAAAAAGCATCTCACAAAAGTTGCGACACGGCGTAACTCGGCTCATAACCGTAGCATGTCGGAGCAGTGTGCTCACCTGATAGAGCAGCTGTGAGTATTTGTAGCCTCGCTACCAAACCAGCATTTCATCTCCGATGAAGTTACCCCAGAGAGAAGTAAAGCAAGTGTGTAAGTTCATCTCTGAATGTTTGTAAAGCATTCCAGCGTTAAGCTTAACAAGCGATATATGGAGCGACTGCGTCTTCTTGCTGCTACTTCAATCATGAAACTGCTTAATGATCAGCTGATCAGCTTTTCCGTCGTGAGTCCGTCTCTCTTGTTTGTTTATTGCTCACTTCGCGCCAGAAAGAGGAAACCAGCGGCTGAACAACAGCAGAACGTTTAAGCTTGATAAGCTGTTGTTAGAATTTATTTTATATTACTTTCTACACCAGGATCTTTTTCTACGCAGCTGACGTAACTGTGCAGGGGCGATCTAGCAAAGCTTAGCCAATGGTCAATGGTAACTTTATTGTCCCTAACGGGAAATTGATTTGCAGTATGTCCGTACAAACAAACAAACAGACAACCAACACGTCACCTCACCAAGAGCCCTGTGTACAGGAGCTGCATGCAAAAAGATATTTTGTTAAAAGGGTTGGCGTAATAAGCAAATGCTTCAGCCAATACCTTTTAATTAGCCTTGTCTCATGCTTTCTTGCTTGGTGGTAGATCTTTGTTCTGTTTTCACTGAGATATTTGAATGCTAATCAATAAAAATCAAATCAAATAATATAATATAAGCCTGATAAAACAACCTAGATTTTTCATCAAAAAAGCACAATGTGCAATGGCAACAACACTCATGGTTTAGTGTTATTAACTATGATAATAGCACTAGGTACAAAAGACAGTCTATGTCTCTTTGTCTTCACTGCAGGCACTTTATAACGACGACCTGATGGAAGCAGTTGAAAATCATTAAAGAGAGGGTGATCTGAACACAACAGGACAGAGGCTGCCTTGCTCAGCACCGGCCTGTTATAAAAGTCCACAAGCTGGACCTGAGACCTCCCTGAAATCTTGACAGACACTTTAACCAGGTTGTTAAGTCTGGTCTTATTATTCAGGGACATATTACCGTACCAAGCAATGATGTGTAATTGTTTGAGAGTAGCACTGACTCCAAACAACCGTCAGGATTGCTAATAAAATAAAAAACCCATCTTCATTAAAAGAAGTTCCACAAAGCACAAGCCGATTCTATAGGATTTCCTGAGACAAAAAAAAATAAAATAAGATGAAATAAAGGAATAAAAGAATAAAATAAAAAAAGTAAAAACACTGACAGACAAAGACAACCTGCTGGTCGCCGCAAGAGCAGCGCCCTCTCCTCCTGACTGAGGCCTGGGACGACTGCCACCGGGAGCCAGGGGGGCCGATAGGGCATTAACAGGGAAAAGGGGGCACAAAGACATACTTTTCTTTCTTATTCT